GTGGGGGTGGAGTGAGGGTCGGGGGTCGGAGGTTAGGGTGGGAGGGAAAGCAGAGGGGATGAGGGGGCTGATGATGATGACAGAAAGCAGTCGTAGATATGAGGGGCGGCTGCTTGCTCACGCACATCACCTGGCCCCTGGCCCCCAAATCCTTAAATCCAACCCTTGAAACCCCAAATTTCTTGACAGCCAACCCTGATTCCACCCCCTCTGATCCCCCCAGGAGCACCTGGATGGCGCCCTCTTCCACTTCACCCAGCTGCTGGAGCGGCGGCCCCGCCACTACGAGGCCCTGGCACAGCTCATAGGCCTGCTCAGGAGGTGCGGACGCAGGGCCGGCGGCCTTGCTTGGCGGCAGCGCGGGGCGCGTCATGAGGACCGCGGGCAGCTTCCACCCCGGTTCGGACTTTTCCTGCGTATCATCAAGGCGGGACGCTGCAGGCGCGGCCGTGCCGAAGGTGTAGCCGGCGCTTGTCTGCGCTCACCATGCAGAAAGAGGCTGACCATGATACCTTTTGGTACTTGCATGTATATGTACCTGTGCGGTATCATCCCGCACTGTTGCACAACCCCCTGTAACGCGGGTCGCAGGGCCGGGAAGCTGGAGGAAGCCGACAAGCCGCTGGCGGCGGCAGAGGCGGCCGCGGCCGCGGCGCGCGGGGCAGAGGGCGGCGGCCGGGACGGGGGGCTGCACTACTGCCGCGGCCTGCAGCAGCGGTGCACGGGCGGGTCGCAGGGTCGCAGGGTTGCAGGGTGCGGGATGTGACCCGTGCTGGCTGGACAGACGGGGCGACAGACACCGACTTGATGTGCGCGTTGCAGCGCTTTGCAAGCGATGCAACCCTGGGCCTGCCAGCCATAAACGCATCCCCCCAAACTTGAATCTGTCCACCGGCAGCCAATGCGACATTGCCACGACAGCGACCCACGCTGTATCTGCTGCTGCCTACAACCTCTTGCGGCCACGCAGGTACTTAGGGAAGCCCCGCGAGGCGCTGCAGCAGCTTAACCTGGCCAGGAAAGATCCCGCCTGGGCCGGAAGATCTCTGGCCCAGATGATCGAGATCTACCTGAGCCCGGAGAACGATGTCAGCTGGACGGACGGCAACCAGCCGGCCGCTGCACCGTCCAGGGGGGGAAGCAGGGACGGCAGCGTGGGCGGGGCGGGGGCGGGGGTGGGAGCAGGAGGGGGCACAGCGGAGGAGGAGGCGCAGGAGGCGGCTGTGACGGCGCGAGAGTTGCTGAAGCAGCTGCGGCCTGAGGATGTGGATGAGAGCAGATACCAGGTCAGCTTGGGTGGGCTTTCCTTCGTCAGCCTGGCCGTGCGGCTGCGGACGGCTCATGTTTGTGCTCTTTCTCACTCTATAGCTGCGACTCGCGTCGGCGGCACATATGACATGTAGAGGTGGCGTTGCCTCCACAGCGCAGAGTCGCCGGGGGTTTCTTGGTTTTACGCCCTCGCTTGCACTGCTTGGGTATGCCCAACCCGGTCTCGGCGTGTGTGCCGCACGCCGTGCGCCGCCGCAGGTGCTGTCGGCGTATGCGCGCATGGCAGGGCGCCAGCGCGGCGACGTGGAGGCGGCGGTGGGGTCGCTGCTTGACGTGGCGTCGTCCGACCCCAACAACGTGCCCGTTCTGCTGGCGTTGGCCCACGGGTTCGTGCTGATGAAGCAGGTGGACAGGGCATGGTGGGGGGTGGGTCAGCTGGTTGACGGGCTGCTCATGGGGCTTGGGCTGGGGCGGGGGCAGGGCGCAGGGGCCCTGGCAAGTGCGTGCACGGTTGTGTGTATGATCACCAAGCTGTGCAAGCCACATCTGCGTGCCATCTACCAAGAGCTGGGGGCGTTGCAGGGTGCGCCAGGGCCGTCAGGGCGCCGCGGTCTCAAATGCCACCAGATTCCTGCGCATGCAAAGCGCTGGCTCCACGTTTTTGCATCGCCCTCGCTTCCGCGCGCCCAAAGGAGGCCCTGTTCAACGGCGCCGCCTCGCACACGTGCCGTGCGTGCGTGTCCGCACGTTTTTCGCCCTCTCCCCTCTCCCCAGGTCCCCAAGGCGCGCAACCAGCTAAAGCGTGTGGCCAAGCTGCCCTACCAGCCCTCAGAGGCGGACGAGTTCGAGCGCGCCTGGCTGGCGCTGGCAGACATCCACGCGCAGGGCGGCAAGTTCGACCTTGCGCAGGTGAGG